CCTTAGGTTTTCCTTAGTCTCCTACCCATAACCCACCTCACCCCTTCTCCAACCCGGACTTTTGCTGGTCTTTTAGACTGTGCTAGGGACGAAGGAGAATTCAGACAGTAGTAATGGTTTAGATTATTTCATAATTTACAAAGCATTATCTCATTTAATTTCTACTGCAACCTTTTGAGATTGATATTACCCTACCCCCCCACTGCAAAGGCAGAAGGAAAGAATTGGTTTAAGTAGCTCATGAGCAGCAAAGCTGGGACTCAGCCTGTAGCCTTCCAGGTCAAGGCTCATTATTTTTCCCCCTGAGATACCACTAACACCTCAATACAGTACCTGTCCAGGAATATTTTACTTCAGACTGGCCAGCAGCCAGACCCAAGACAAGAAGGATCAGGTAAAATTTTGAGGATTTGAGGGACCTAGAACATTCTGGTGCCTAAAGGGCAGCCAGGGGTAGGATCAAAGGGGAGAAAAGGGTCACTAAGCCCGAGGAAGGCTGGAGTCCATAGAAGATCCACTGGGAATCTTCACCTCTCTAAAAGCAGATGAAGTAGATTTCTGCACCCAGAGCGTATTTGGTCATGGAAGGTAACATAAGCAGTATGGACAGAAGAGCATGGCATGTGTAAGGCAAGTTATGTGTTTCAATGAACATAATTATGTCTTCTATGAAATGTATTTTAACTTTAGAGCTATAGGGAGAGCTGTTTATGTTATATATTTCATAAAGAAAATATTTATATATATTATGTATTTACCAAATATACTTTATTTAGTAAATACATACTATACATACATATATACTCTTAGATAGCATACTGAAGTAGAATAACAAGAAACACAGTAGCAGTACTTTCATGTTTTTATAACATGGCAGAAAATCACATTCTATTACCATCATATAACTTGCTATGTCACATTGCTGTCTCACATAGTCATGCTCTTTCACAAGATTGACTTTTTTTTAACAATGCTTATTTCTGCTTTGCTGTTTGATAGGGCAACCTTGTTTCCAATACAAAAATGGAAAATAGGATCTGATCAAGAAGGATAACATTATAATTTAGGATGCTTCCAATATAACATGTGTGTTAGTAGTGGCTGGATGTGTACAAGTCCTCATGCAACTAAGGTAATCCTGTGAAGTAAAATCTGGTTTCATTTTGTGGTAAAACTACAGGGTTCTATAAGGTTGTTTCTGAGCTCATGCTTGCTGCTAGTTTTTGTTGTTAGTTGAGATGCAACTCATATACAATAAAATTTACCCTTTTTAGTATAAAATTCCATGTTTTAAAACATATATTCTCAAGATTATGCAATCACCACTAGCTAATTCCAGAACATTATTTTATGCCCCCAAACCTCATCATCATTAGGAATCATTCCCCAATCTCTCCTTCCCCAGCTCTTGATAAGCACCAGTTTATTTCTTGTATATGGATACTGCTGTTCTATACACTGTATACAAGTGGGATAATTTGATGTGCTATCTTCTGTGTTGGGCTTCTTTCATTCAGCCTTCTATTTCAAGCTTCATCCATATTGTGGCATGAATCCTTTTTATTTCTGAGTAATATTTCATTGTGTGGACATACCAGATTATGTAGGCATTCATCACTTGATGGACATGTGGCTTGTTTCGCTTTTTGGCTCTCGTCGATAATGTTACAAATGTTTTACAACCAAGGGAATATCAGAATACACAAAAGAAGTTATTTTATGAGGGTTTGTCTGCTACAGTGTTTCTTGAGTGACTGCTTTGCATCTCCTGGGGCAAGGCATTGGAAGGAGTGCTCATGGGGCTTTGAAAGAGTGAGGTGGCAAGGGTCAGGTGGTCCCCTGACATCTCCATTCCCATCTCACCTGTATGTTGAGCTAACTTTGCAGTGACTCAGGGTGAGCATTACTGCTGGTGCTGAGGAAAGAGTTGGCGTTGGTTAGAAGCCTGACTCTGCCTCTGAGCACCTCACATGTTACTGACCCTGAACTTCCATTGGGCTCTCTGGGAATCGGAGATAATAAAAACTTCCTCACAGAGTTTATAAGAGGATGCAAGACAATGCCCATGAGTATTCCATTCAATAAGGACCTCTCCAGACAGATATTTGTACTATTACTAATTCCTCTTTGCTACAAGGCATTTGGAAGAAAGAAAAGGCAGGGTCAGTATGATGCAAAGCTCTCTGAGCAGTTTCTCTATTTCGGCAATGTTTAAATCATTTTTTCCATTATGACCGTATCGACTTGCTAGGCTGCCATAACAGTATGCCACACACCGACCGGTTAACTTAAAAAACAAATTTATTGTCTCTCAGTTCTGGAGGGTGGAAGTCCACAATCAAGGCATCGCAGGTTTGGTTTCACCCAAGTCCCTTCTCCTTGGGGCATTTGGCCTGTTCTCACCATGTCCTCTATGTGTGCCCGTGTTTTCTCTTCTTACAAGGTCATAGGAGTGAGTTAGTGGCCGAATTTTAACTCACTCATCTCTTTAAAGGCATTATCTCTAAATACAGACACATTCTAAGGTACAAGGGGCTTAGACTTCAACATATGATTTTTGGGGAACACAATAAGAAACACTTCAACAGCCACCACATTTGTCCTGGATACTGAGAACAGACCTTACCCAATTGGAAACTCAGTCTCTTAGGAGAGACAAATAAGTCCATAATTGTAGACTGACTTTTCTCCAATTAACCTGCTTCTTGTCTCATGACGGAATTTACACCTTCTGCAAATGTATCATCAAACATATGATGAACATTTTGACCATTTCAGAATCCTAGTTCAATCAGCTGAGAATGTTCCAGGTCTTCATCAGCTGCAAAGAAAATCTTCATCAGAGCCCACTTGGAAGCTGGAAATGAGTGAACCAAGAATCCTGAGAAGCAGGGCCAGACTGAGGCAAAATTAACAAATAGTTGAGATATAAATTTATCTTTAGGTGCCTCTTTACCTCCCCTTTCTGCCCAAGTCTTATCACTTTCCAAACACAGCCAGCCTGGCGATGTCCCACACTCCTTGCATGTCCAGCTGCCCAGGTTCCAGTATGTCCCATTCCTTCCCTAACCCCAGGCCCACCTCTCCTATGACTGACTACTCTCTGCTTGAACAGCCATGAAGGTAAGGATTTTTGAGCATCCTACTGTGTGTTTGGCAATAGTTATACACTTACATATGTGTTCACTTTATTTTCATAATAGCTTCACTTCACCTCACCTCATTTCACAGATGAGAGACCTGAGCTAGTAGCATACACATGGGGACACAGTTAGTAAACAGGATCATTTAAATGCAGGCCATTCTAACTCCACTAAGACCATTAGCCTTTCAGCTCTGTGAAAGGAATGGCCACAATAGCCCCACTGGCTCTTCGTGCTTCTCTAGAACCAGTGCCTGAGAACTGGGTGCCGGTGACTTGGTATATTCTTGGGAGAAAGGAGTGAGGGAAGGGGAGACAGGGGAGATCAGCAAAGGATGTGCTCTACACTGGTTGAGCTTCAGCCAGATCCCACATGAGCTCTGAAGTTCAATTTGGCCCCTCAAATTGATCCTAACTTGAGGAAAGGGATGGATGATTTTTTTTTTGTCCTGGGTCAGCAAATCACTGGCTGTGGGAATGTATCTTTAACACTTCAGGTTCTATGGCAAGTTATTGCAGGAAATGGTTTTGCATGAGAGAATGGAAAGCTTTCAGAATTCCTAAGTTATGCCTACAGACAGCCATCTGATAACATGGTGTTAATTTAGCCTGGTGTCGCACACATCTGTAATTCCAGCACTTGGGAGGCTGAGACAGGAGAATCACTGAGCCTGTGCTACATAATGAGATCTTGTCTCACAAAACAAAAAACAAAGAATCCAAAAATTAAAACAACAACAAAAAATAAAACCTGTGTCAAGTTCAATACCATTTATAATTTAACAACATGGTTTTAGTGTACATTATTCATTTGATCATCACAATTACTTTTATGAACTAGATGGCAGTTTCATTAGCCCCATTTTGAAGGGCAGTTGAGTGGTTGCTGAACTTAAATGTGATAAAATCGGACCAGGAACTTGCTTCTGACTTGAGATTGAATTCCTCTACAATATTCCTTATAGCATCTGGTTGAGCTTCAGCAAAGGACATAACACCCTACCTAGAATGACCAATTATCACTGTTTTCTAGTTTTAAAACTCAAAGCCCCACTTTCAAAGAGATCTGGGGCTGAGTACAGTGTCTGAGGCCTGCAATACAGAGGTTCACAAAAGTGTCCTAATTTTAATTCCTTTTAATAATAGAAGAAAAAATATAATAGAAATAAATGTAAATATTGAAGCCAGGCAATTGCATTCATACTAACATACTCCTGTGCATGCATATGTGAAAGAAGTGCCTAGGAATAACCAAGTCAGAGTTCAGCTCTGGGCAACTCCCCCTGGGGCTGGTTCACCTTCACACCTCAATACCTTATCAGCAGGGGCAGGTCATGGCTCAAGAACTTTGACCTCTCACTCTGTGGTGGATGCCTAAAATCACTAGTTCTTTCCCAGATCTCCTATTTCCACACATCTGGCTTCCTCCCTTCTAATTACAGGTCTGTTGCCTTGGTTCACTTTGGCTTCTCTAGAGAAGGGGCTGAGGAGCCCATCTTGTCTAACTCATTTTTTTTGTCTATAGCTCCTGGGTCAGTGTTAGGAACAATGCAAGCACTCAGTGCATATTTACTGATTGAATAAATGAAGTGACGGATAACCTGATGCAAACAACTGCTTATTTAATCCTGGGTCACTAACCATACTGGCCTTCATTTTCTGCATTGGTAAATTAATTTGTTGTAATAGATGAACTCTCAGGTTCTTAAGGAACATTTTGTGTTATGTATTTATTATACTAGATTGTGTAGCTTTGTCAACATCACTGAAAAATATGTCCCAGTTAGCAATGAAATAATCATGTATAGATTTAGAGTGTCATTGTTGTGTGCTTTTCCTATCCCTATTGTTCTTTCAGAGCCTTATTGGAAGGCAGCATGTCCAGTTTTCCCTTGAGAAAAAAGTCTCTGGCAAGAAATGGTAATGTAGACATTGTTTCTTTTACTCTAAAAAAAAAAAGCTTTAAAGTCTAGAAAAAAATAACTCACAAATTATAATTTTTAATATAGATATTTAATACTTGGAAACAACAGATAATTATCACTGCTTATGTTAGGTTTAAGAAAAAGAAGAATGTTATAAGTTTTTACTCAGATAATTTTAAATTAAAGAAAAATTATTACAAATCAAAAAACAAAATGTGCTTCTATGAGTGTGACCATCTATGCTTCTGGCTCCCATGAAGTAAAGAATTAAACTACTTGTAATCAAATGTACCAGGACTTATTGATGGATATCTTCTAGATATACGAGCAGTCCTGTGTCGATTTCAAGGCATATTGCTTATTGAGTAGAATGACCAACCCACTAAACCCTCACTTGGTTTATTCCAGGCTAATGGATCTACATTCCCTGGAGCCATGTGGGGCCTCTGAGTTGCACTGGCAGTTTCAATTGGCACCTGAGCAGTTTTATATGTTATCTTTGATGACGGGGTGTGGGATTTGTTCTTTCTTGCTGGTGCACCCTGCTTTGAAATGGTACTGGGCTTGCCAGCGGGGAAGATGGTGCTGGCCAATCAGATGTGCCAGGTTAATGAGCCCATGCTCAACTTCACTCTGCTCCATCTCCTAACTCCACATGCTTCTGTAGTAGATATGAACAGCACCATTCAAGGAACTGCACTGAAGAAACAAGATTTTCATGAGGTGAACAAAAGAAGGACTTTCTTACAGGATAACAGCTGGATCAAGAGACGTCCTGAAGAAGAAAAGTAAGTGTGGGGACTGGTGGGTGGGTGGATGAGTGACAGAAGCACTCTCTGTTTGGGAAGCTAATGGTTATCTGGGAAGCAAGCTCTTTCTTTCGAAAAAATTTTGCTGCATTGCTGAAGTTTTGGTAATACTTGGTAAACATAAATTTTCATGATTTCATGCATAAAATTTCAAGATCATTTCTACCATCTTTAATATCCATATAGATAAGAGACTATGAGTCATTACTTCCAGAGAGCATGGTTGTCACTTAGAACAGACATGTGTGCTTCCTTGGCCAGCTGAAAAGAATAGGAGTTTCCAGCTTCCACAAAGGTAATAGCCCACAGTAGGGAGATTCCTAATGAGTGTAGACCATGCCAGTAGAAACAAACACATAAGAGTATAATTCCAAGTTTATAAATTTAATAATAATTTATTTTAAGTTTCTGTATCCAAACATGCAATCAATACATCCCCAAATTACTTAAGTCTCATGTAGCCATCTACCTTTCCATATTGGGAAGGTGGAGCCATTACTTTATAAGGATAAACATTTGCTGGCAGCAAAGTGTTGTCTGCTTCAAGCATTGTTTCTTCTAGGTATAAGTTTAAAAATCTGAAAATTATGACCATAGGCATGCAGCCTCATTGCCAACAGATGTGTTGGTAACAGATATGTTTCCAACATGTATTTTTCATTCTAGAGCTATTTTTATTATAAATGAACTATATGTTATAAAGTATGTTACATTTTCTTATTTCCTATGTGTCAATCTTGATACCAGCTACTTGACATATGAACCACCACTAAATCTCAAAGCAAACCCAAAAGGTAGGTATTACACCTTCATTTTATAGGAGAGAATCTGAGGCACAGAGAAGTTGTGTAATTTGTCTAATGGCATGCAGATATTAAGCAGTGGGGTTGTGTTACTAACCTAACCATTATGCCAGTGTTTTCAACTGGGGGCACTTTTACCTCCAGAGGACATTTGGCAATGTGGGGAGATTATTTTTAGTTGTCGGAATTGGGGATTGCTCCTGCCACTTAGTGAGCATAGGCCAGAAATGCTGTTAAATATGCCATGATGCACAGGACAGCAACAACAATATTAAACTGTCAAACTCAGACCTGATGGAGCAAAGCCCTGAAAGGTAGGAGACTTACCCTAAACTGTCCAAATATGGCTATTTGAGGGGCACATTTGTAACTGTCAAGTAAAAATGTCTTTTAATTTCTGTTATTGAATCTTATTTTAATACTAACTTTTGGAGTCGGTGCTCCTGGACAACAATCATTCCCTCCCGTGGAGCAGCGCTGGGTCTCTGTCCAAGGTTCAGACGGCATTTCTCTTTTTCTGTAGTGATAGTATGATGTCAAACGTAGATACAAAATTTTGGATTGCAAATATTTACACAGATGGATAAAGACAGAGGTATCGATAAATCACAGTTGGTAGGAATGTTGGTTTTATGTCAGGCAAGCTTTCCTATAAAGGCACAAGGAAGCCAGTTTGGATGGCAGGCAGTTGCTGAATAAAGGGGAAATTACTCTGGTGTACTGGCCCAGCTCTGTGCTGCATGTTATGATACTTTTTCAGTAAAAATGTGCCTGTTACCTGCTATGTCTCACAAGTTTCAGGGAGGGAAACCAAGGAAGGTGTAAACATTTTCTTGCAGGCCTTTGAGGGTGTATATTTGCTATGATTATTTCAGTTTCAATCTTTATCTTTCTTTTAGTAGCCTATTACAGTTCTTTTATAGCTTTATTAAAAATGGTTTCAGATTGTTAAGTATTGTTAGTGGAGCCCAACCAGGAAAAAATGTGATATTTCAGGTTTGGTTGGATCTACTTGAGAAAAGTTCAGGTGCTTACTCTCTGCTTTGGCTCCTGTCCAAAGGGTTTCTAAATGTTTGACATTTCCCAAAATTGCCCAAACTTGCAAGTTCATCTTACCAAGTAAAGACATGGCTTTGGGATTTTATGTGGAAAGGTCTATTGTAGAACAAATGTTTGGCATAACAAGATCTGGATCTTCAGCTCACCTCTATTACTTGAAAATCTTGTAAATTTAAGAAAGTCACAAAAATCTCTGATCAATTTCTTCATCTATAAATTGGAGAGGACAGTGTCTTTCCTGTTTAATTCACATGGTCATTTTAAGGACGAAACCGCAGTTTATCTGTTCTCGTTCAAAAATGGGCTAAACTTCTGTGAATGACCTCTTTAGCCAGAAATACTTTTGTTTTCCTACATTTTAACAAGGAAAACTGTGAAGTCCTTTTAAATATACAGTCATAATGGGCTTAATTAAACAATATTTGAAAGTTTTTGTATTTGTCCTCCTGAAGAAAAGGACTGTTCTGATACAAAGCAGATGGCATCGTGTTCCCATACCCTGGTAAAACAAAAACAAAACAACAAAACAAGACACTTGTTCATTGTTGAATCATGTGGAAATCTTATGGGATAAATGATCATTTGTACTGACAAACTTGCTTCTTTTCACTGTGCTCTTGCAAGTGGTGACTGGTTAAAACAGATTCACAGTTCTGTTCTTATGCCTGGAATAAAATGAATTAACCTTGCCAGAAGTTGTGGGCTCTCCCTAGCTCTCTTATTTAATGCTTAGCAAACATTGTGGTAACTTTTGATGTGATATAATTTTTGTCTTTCTCTGCAGAGATGAAAATTATGGTAGGGTGGTGCTCAACAGGCATAACTCCCATGATGCCTTGCACAGGTATGTGTGGCAGACAAGTTACATCATTGGCAGAAACACAAAGATGGAGGTTCTGAGAGAAGACTTGTTCAAGCCAGTTGAGTATTTGTGGCTAGCCTCAGGTGTTCCTGACTTTATGGGCATGTGAAGGAGAATTGTGTTTCTCCAGTCCTCAGAACTACAGCTTGGATGAAGAACATAATTAACACTGACCTACCCCACTGAGGTATCCTCCTGAAGGTCAGGGAAAGGACTTTCACAGAAACATGACCAGATAAAGACATCTCTAAGCCTTAGAGAAAGGAATCCTAAAATACAGGAATAATAACTTGAGTTCACTTGCTTTAGAGGACAGTACATTGCTTTCTGGAGACTCCTGAGCTTGTGAAAAAATCCTAACTTATTCTCAGTGGCAAATAGACTGACAAATACAAATTAGTAGGAAAACTTGAACAAAACTAGTAATCATCATAATGTAAATAATCTCAGATTGATAAAATAAATAGATAATATTCTCATTAAAACATATGTTCCTCACACATGTACAAACAACCACACCTATCAGTAGAACTTAAATATTTATCAGAGTCAGGTTTCATCTGGTCCAGTAGCTTGGGTTTGTCACTGAGAGATACTTAGTAAAGAAGAGTGGATTTAAAAAAGCTAAGTAGATATCTTGAATATATCTATTCTTAAAACTTTTAACTGTGACTTTCTCTCAAACATTTAAAATGGTTTTATAATTTTGACCTGTTGTAAAGTGCCAAGCTAACAACCCTTTTCACAAAGTAGCCATTTTGTTTTCCTGTGGCCACATTTAGTTCATCCAGTTTGTTGTTCCATGGCTTGGTGGACTCTTCCTGTGCCCTCTACTTAGTCTTCATCATTTTGAAGATTACAGCCTGGTTCTCAGGTGTCCCTCATCCACCCAACAAAAGAAGCTGATCATTTGAGTCTAATCACCAATGGAAACTGTGCCTTCTGGGTTATCTCCCTTTCCCTGGAACTTTTAAAGAACATAGACACTTTCTTTGCAGTGTGACAGTAAAAAATATCCTTCATATTCATGTACATAAGATTTAGGATAATAGGAGCTTACTGTTTTCTATGTTCATTTTACATTTTAAATTGTATTAATTGCTTGAAATCTTTGTCTGGAGGTCAACATTTTTGCTAAAGTAGCACATCAAGCTTTTATCTTCTGTAACAAAAATCTGTAAGCCCCAGCCGCTTCTCCTATATCCTATAACTAATATCAAGGCCTAATCTCCCCCAAAAGAGTAGGGTAGCTTCTCCTGGCATTTGAGAAATGATGCTGCTTGTCATTTTTGTGCCTACCTGCAGCAGCTATATTTCCTTTAGTATTCATTCAAAAGCCACTGTGGACCACCAGTTATGTACTGGGAATACAAAGATGCATAAGATACAACTTGGTACATTAAGGAGTTCTTACATTCACAGGAAAAGATTCATAAGCTACAATAGTAACTTTTGTCATGGAAAAAGTATTTTAGAAGTGTGTGAAAGTGCCATAAAAACAGAGAGGAGGAAAAGACTAACTTGGCCTAAATAGTTAGAGATTTCACCAAGCAAATGGTCTCTGGTGTGAACACTGAGGGTTAAAGAATGACAAGGAGAGGTTTCCCAAGTAGGCTAGGCTGGCTGGAGGACCTGGGGTAGGGGAAGAAGCATTCCCAGCAGGGATGACAATGTGTGCAAAGAGCTGGCCCGAGCAGGGACTGAAATAATATATTCCCATCACCTTAGATAACAGCTTCCTATTGAGCACAAACTAGGGCAGCTCATTGAACTATGTCAGATAAGGCTGACAGCACAAGTAGTGCCTGAGGAACACCTGCTGGAAGCCAGACACTGAGCTGAGGACAGGAATAAAAAGCAAGTCCTTGCTTCCGTAGAACTTGCGTCCTAGTCCAAGGTGGGGGAGGGGAGAAAATGAAAATAAACTAACACAACAGAGTGAGTCTTGTGACAAGTGGTAGGAAGAGTCTGGCCAGACAGGTCTAAAATGACAGTAACTGTGGAGAGCCCACTTTACTGACAGCCCTGTGATGCTTATTTGCATTCACGCCATACACAAGGAAGAGAACCACACCATGATTTGTTTTATTTCACTTATTTATTTATTTATTTATTTATTTATTTATTTATTTATTTATTTATTTAATTTTTGGTACCAGGGATCAAACTCCAGTCCTTGCGCTTGCGAGGCAGGCGGTGGAACCACTGAGCTAAATCCCCAGCCCTGAACCACACCATGATTTGACTTTGAGGTTTCCTGAAAAATTTGGTGAAGTTTTTTTCTTGCCTTGATTGACACTGTTCCCTCTACTCTCTGAAAATGTTCATATCTTTTATCCTCCAAGGCCTAGGTCAAACTGGACCTCATCCACAAACCATTCCTTGATTCTTATTTTTGAAAATCAGCTTTCTCAACTTATAACTTTCATGGTCTTTGCCTGAACTTCTTTTATGCCATTGGATATGTGTATCTGGCTTGTCCCACTAACTTTCTGTGGGTAGCATCTGTAATTACTTCATTCTAGACTTCCTTACAGCCATCAGCAAAATGCTTTGCATATTGCCTACCTTCAAAGATTTTTGTAATGAAAACATGTCACATCACCTAAAACTAAATCTCGAGTGTTCTGTCTTGCTCCTTATTCTGATCCAGCATCTTTGGTGAATCACCTCCAAATAATGGTTTAAGTGCAAACAAAATAAATCATGGCACAATTTCTCAAAGAGCTTGCTTGCCCTGTATAGAAGGTATTAAACGGGCTTTTTGCTTGTTTGATCGGTTGGATCAAAATAATTTCACTGTTGCCAAGACCATAATTCCTATTTTAGAGCCTCCTATTCTCTGCCTTTCTTAACCTCTATCTCCATTATTTCTGTCTGTCTATCCTTCTTTCCTCATTGTCCATATCCTGATTTCTCCCTATCACCTTACTCTCCTTTCCATCTCTAGCCTTTCTCTCATCTCTCATTGTCTTTTTTCTATTTCTTCTTGGGTCTTCATGTTTTCTTTTCCTGTCCTTTTCCCTATTCCTTCTTCTGCCAGTGTTATCATCTTTTAACCCTGTCCACGGTGCTGAATGCTAAATAGAGCAATTTAGGATTTAGCCCATTGTGTGGATTTATGACACTACTAAAACTCTGCAAACAAAACATAGCTGATTAAATTCCTCTTATGCAAAAATCTACAACATTGACAAGAGTATGTGTTAGATATTAACCATTTTGGATGTTATGTTGTTTGTTTTATATAGCCTTATTTCCAATTTGAGTATGTTACACTGTGGTTAAAGATAGTTGGAGCCAAAGAAGAATACTTTATTAGCATTGGAAATTGGGTTTGCTGTAAATTGTTCTGTTCGTCAAAACCTTGGAAGATTTGGATACTCCAAATACTTCCCTTGGCAACATGTACATTTCCTACCTAAATAGGCTAAAAATTTGCCATATGTATGGTATGTTTTGTAATGATTTCTTGTAATTTATTCAATCTTTTGGTTACATTTTTGTTACAGGAAAATAAATGAGAAAGAGGAACCAAAAGCCATGGTTAGTCGGTACAGGTCCGATGACACTTTGGACAGGTAAAGTGCTTCTGAGACATCTAAATATAAAGCACTTACGTGTGCTTCACAGTTAATATGTGTTAACTCTTTTGTAAGGCTGTGTATCAGAAAGTCCACTTATCAAAAAGTTACAACATATTTACATGTTTAGTACAATAAGCTTTGTACCATCAATATTTATCTCCAGGGAGAGAGAGCTTCAAGGATTGCATTATCTTCTTCAAAACTCACAAAACCTTGATTAGATTACATTGTTTTCCTAAAATCCTGGTTTTATAAATAGTAGATTGATCTGAAAACTCTGAGAAATCCTGATTTGAGTATAGGTTTGGTAGGCAAAGCACAGAGTCTGTTCAATTTAAAATGAAGAATACAGTTGTTTTTGTAAATTTTAATGGTTCTTGTTTCAACATTAGGTTCTCCCATCCTGATTGTGGAGAAATAATGATTTCTGTACAACAACTTATGGAGAGATTGTGAATTTTAATAACACAGTAGTTTCAATTCACTTTAGGATAAAGATGTTATTAGAAAATGAAACTGCTTTTCCAGCACTGCAGTCACTGTGTGACTCATAGAATGGGACCATTACATTTTGCCTGTTGTTAGTTCCCTCTTTTACATAGAGAGAAAGGGCTCATCCTTATAGAGAAAATTGAGAAACTTCTGTTTGGGTTGAGCTGAAAACCCTACAGATCACATTCTTTGTTTAGATTTGGTGGAAATGCTTAGGAAGCATATGAAAAGAGCAGAGTTAATATCTTTAACAGAAGTTAGGCACAGTGTATACCCAAGACTGGTACTGTGCAACTCACTCCCTGTAGCTAAAGAGCTGCCACTATTGTACACAAAAATGACACCAATTGGATTTTAAGTAGATATGTGAAATTTATAGCATCTAGTACTCTGTATTCAGGTTATGCCAGTATTGATCAGTATTGCAAACATATAGACTTCTGTACTACTCATGGCTTTCAAGTCAGTTACCCTTACAGAAGACAGTTGACTAAAGAGTTGGCCGGTCTCTTCTTCTAATTATAATCCTTATAAAAATGAGTTTGTAGTATATGCTCAAGATTACATCTCCACACCAGTGCATAGAGGAAAGGTAGACAAAATAATTGTTCATTCACCTTGATCTTGCAGATGGTTGGACTACACAGCTAATTGAAATAGGGAACCTTATTTCTAGGAAGTAATTTTAAAATGAGATGAGTAAACTTCAAGAAAAGTAGATATGTGGAATAACCAAGCTTTTGTCAGGCCATATATCAGAAAGTCCAGGACAGTCAAGGCCCAGGCTTGGGGTGTGAGAAATGGTGTAGACTTTCAGGCTGAACATGTGGTGTCATTCTTAGCATTTGCTGCAAATAGAGTCTCTGAGGGAGCTTTTAAACTTTATTGATGCCTTGGTCTTCTTTTGTTTTTCCTGTGGCAGGAATTAAACTCAGGACCTTGCACTTGCCAGGCTGGTGTGAAGCCACTGAGCTACATCCCTGGCCCTATGCCCTGGCCTTCTATTACCTCCTTCCTCACATTCTGATTTAACTAACCTGAGGTGCTAGTTGGACATTATTTTCAAGCTTGTAAAGTGAGCCAAATGTGCAGCTAAGATTCAGAACCACTGGAATAGCTCAGACCTTTGATTTTATATGCTAGAAAATGAGACTAGAGATTATGTGATTTATTTACACAAAGGTTGAGTGGGATATTTAGAAGGAATATCCTGGTCAATTTATTCCCAAGGCAGTAAACATGATTTGAGGAAGAGAACACAGTGGTCAGTAAAAATAGACAATTCCAATAGCAGAGCTGAGACTTCATAATTCAGGCCACTCCAAAATGTAAGATCTGAAATCATTTCAGGAGGAAAATAATCAAATATGTCTGGTATATGTAGCTGTGTATTTAAATAATAATGCATTAATTTTAATTAACATGAAAAATACTGAATTTTGACACAAGGAGTTTCCTTTTAAAGTATACATATTTGGTTAGGAATGTGAAGTGTGTTAAAGAAACATAAGAGTGGCGTGTACAGCATGAAGACAATACTCCAAACCCTGAAGGTGCTTTAATGACTAATTTGGAAAATATAGGTTAGGGAGTCCTCTAGTGTTCAGTTATGGAATAACTTTTCTTTAGATCATATTGCTGGTTATTTCTTGTTTCCTGACTTTTATAAAAAAAAAAAACCTATTTCATATCACAAGTTGCCAAATACAAAGTTAATCTCCTCCAGCAATTAAAATTTCACATATATGTTAGAAGAGTGGCTTAGAATTTTCTCCATTACTGATATGCATCTCCCCCTAGTGGCATGGACAAGATTAAGATAAGTCAGTAATAAGGAAAGACATGTTCTGCCATTAGATGCTTTTTGGAGTCAATTATGCTATATAAGCAGATGTATGAAATTGGCCCCAGTAAGGAAACTTTGAAGATAGAACTACTTCCTAGTTTTTTGGTCAAGAGAAAGTCACCTAACTTCTTTCAGACTCCCTTTCTTCATCTATAAAGTGAAAATAATCTCACATCTCAAGTGTTCTGAACAATTGAAAAAGTTTATGAAATGACCAGCAAACAGTAGATAGCTACTTTTATTATTATAGGTAGTTTTTCCCACACAGATATACACTTTGAAATTTTTATTAACTTTATTTAGTTTTAACATAAGAAATCACCTTGAGATCATTTGATATTAAAGTTCTGTTGGCTTTGAATGAATTGTTATTTTCCCTGTAGCAATTTTATGAGGTTGTTTTTATCTCATATCAGGATCGCATAGGTAACTATAAAGTCTGATTAAGGCTCACAGAAACTTTTAAGATTTCAGACTGCCTCACAGTTTCACCTGTGGTATTCACAGTGATTCAGTGCAAATCTCTTGAAATCTAAACATCTCAGGGCTAAGAGGCTTGAGTTAGGACATTAACCCAGTCTTTGGCCTGAAGATCACCTTAGACATGAGTTTTTAAATACAGTTTTAGGATTCTGCCTGTATTGTGAGTACTCTGTGGAGAATATGGAGCTTTGAACTGTTACAACGAGTCCTCATCCTTCCTTTTAGCATTAATAGTATAGTATTAGGTACCATAAACAGAAACTGCTATGGGGTTGACTCAGAAATTTAATATATCAGAATTGTCATGTGTAATATTTTAGTTACACATGTTAAAATGACATCAAGAACTGAAATAATTTTTAGTTTACGACAATGAAGTCATATTTTTCCCACATGATTTTGAGAGAGGCAGTCAGTATCTGTCTTGGCAGAGATTGTTTGTATAAAGTCCTGTCCTAAAGTGGATGATAAAAGTGTTAGTTTAGGGGAAGTTGTAGTAGATGTGTAGTATGGGGTCAACAGAAGAGTCTGCTCCCTTTGTTTTCCTTGTTTTGCTTTGCTGTATCCCAGTTTCTGCAAATCTGCAGAATGTTCCAGAAAGCAGCTCCGGGTCTTAGGAAGAATCTTCTTATCTTATGTGAGGCAAGCAAGGAAGAAGCAGTCAGGCTGCAGTCAGGAGACCCCACCACTGGGGCATGAGACAGTAGTATTCCTAATTTTTTCTAGATCTACTTTCTTTGAGGAGATCTGAGAATAAAGGGACTAAAACCTCTGATGGCCATTTGGGCCTATTAATTAAACATACCAGTCAAAGAAGCTAATTCATCAAGATAGAATAACTGATTTAATAAGTCCCCTCCTTGTCCCCCAAATCTAGATGGTTTAGCACAATAGAAGGAATTGCTGATGACCCAGAATCTGATATGATTTGCCAGAGTCCATGCAGTGATTCAAGGACCCAAACTCCTTAGAGTTGTAATGATGCCATCTTCAACTCATGGGCACCAAAGCAATGTGGAGGGGGGAAAAGAGCATGAAAGATTATGCAGAAAGTTTTATGCTAGGTCTGGAAGTGGTAAATAATATTTCTGCCCACATTTTCTTTTTTAGCAATGACTCAATTTGCTAACTAAATTTGCTAACTGTGGTCTTCTTCCTTAGGAGGGAAAGAAAATGAGTTTGGGGCCAAGGATTTAGCTCAGTGGTTCCGCTGCCTGCCTGGCAAGCACAAGGACTTGAGTTCGATCCCCAGTGCCAAAAAAAAAAAAAAAGCTGGATGAGAAAATGAGTTTGGCAAACACATAGTGTTGCTGATGCCACAAAAAATAAAACAGAATAAATACTTAAGTATTCCATTGATTCCTTTTACTGACACAGGAAGTATTATTACTAACGAGATGTAGTATTAAAATACAATATGAAAATAATTGAATTAAGTGCTCAGTGAATCAAACAGCCAAACACACAAATTGTCATGCTTTTAAAATTTAAGACTACATCAAAATAGACACATAAGTAGATTTTGTCATGTGTCCCTTTGTTTTTTACTGTAAAATTTTCTAAAATCTAAAACCTGAAAAACAGTGCTCTTTAGAAAAGTTATGTTGTGAAGTTATTTGAGCATGAAAAAGGCCTGAAATGTTTACTCACAGTTTTGTTTTGTCTCTTTATAAAGGATCTCAGGCAGAAAAGATGCTGCTAAAACATCTAAAGCCAATACCTTGGATAACCAACTAACCAATAGGTACCAGTGTTTACTAACTTTGGGAGAGGCTCAAGTACAATAGTTTCCTAAGTGTTATTTATTAAATTACAATTCTTCAATCCTACTTAATGTTTTTCTATAAATTCTTTTTATTTTTTGACACAGGGTCTTACGATATATAAATGCTTATCCTGTATATTTTAAACACAAATTTTCTGGAGCAACATCTTTATTCCTGCTCATGGCTAGGATAAAATGCTGTCTGACTTAAAAATGCAGAGAGCTTATTACTTCAGATTATCATTCTTGCCACATTTACAAGATGTGATCAAAAATACAGTGAATGTTTAAATAAAAATTGAAAAAAAATCATTACTCTGTAATAAAAGATACATTGCCATTAATCATCCTCAAAATACTCACTCTCATTTTAACACAATTATCTCATTGCTCTTCCCACTTCTGAAGCAGATCTGGAAATCCTCTTTAGTGAGTGTCTTTTTCTGTGCTGCCTTGATGTCCTTAGTCCATTGAAAACTTTATGTCAATGTCCATCAAATAAAAACATTACAGTGTGTCCACCTTATTCTCTGAATCTTGTATGATGTGACTTCTGGCTCTTCCCCAAAGTCAAAATGACCACAAAAGATAAGTGTTTGATTTGATTCAGGACACAGAGACATCCGAAACAGTGCAACTAGGGACACTCATGAAAGAGGACTTTGCAGAACTGCTTCAGAAGTGGCAAGGATGATGGGATAAGTGTATTTGAGGGAGTATTTTGAGGGGGATTAATGACAATGTGCCTTTCATTGTAATAAATTTTTAAAGTTTAAACATTCACCATATCTTTTGATCACACCTCATATGTTTTAGTGTCCTGATGCAAGATGATCACATATATGCACAGGCAAATTTTATATTCTTATTGCTGAAGAAAACTACTAAACCCAGTGAAATAAAAATACTGGGCTTAACCAATACTAAATTTTCTGAACTAAAAAAGTTTCCTTTGGAATCTAGTACGTGAGATTTTAGAATATCCTGAGATCACTTTATTAAATGTTTTGAAATATGATGCTTTCTTTTTCTTTCTCTTAAATGATATCAAACTTTTCACAATAATAATTCTGAATTTTTGAACGATTAGAAATAGATGTAAGAATTAACTAATTCTTTTATGTTGCTCAAACTGTGTCCTTTTTCTTCTTTCACCAGAAGCATGTCCACATGTAGATCATCAGATGCAACCAAGTTGTGTGTACTTTTCTTTATCTTTTCCTTGTTTTTGTTTTTGTTGTTGTTGTTGCACTGGGAATTGAACCCAGGGTCTTGCACATGCTACTAGGCAAGTGCTTCACCACTGAGCTACATCTCTAGCTCTTATGTATTTTTCTAATTAAAAGGTGTTTCTTTGTATGTGTTTGACAAACACAGGCAACACCTGAAGACCCAAGTGTAATTACAGTATAGCCTCAACCCTGTGACTTTGGCAGGGCTTTGTTGTAGAGGACAGATGCCAAAATGTCCTGCAAAGGTTCAAATATTTACTGGCTGGACTTTGACTGAAAAAGTTTGTTGGCCCTCACTTTAACCAACCACCAAAGCTTAGTTTATCCCTTTTTCTTCTTTTTAATTTAGATTGTATTTTTTTTCTCCACAGAACTTCTTTTTCTTTGGATCCCTCTTTTCCCCTACATCTTCATTTCCTCCCTCAACCTCCTCATATCTGCAATTCCTCATTCAGAGTAAATCGTGCCTTAAAATCATAGGTCTGCTAACAATTTATTTAGATGAGATACATTTTCCTGCCACGTTTTACTGGCAGTTACAAGAATCCAAATTGGGTGGACTTTCAAACTTAATTAGTTTTAAATGTTCATTTATGCATAAAGTCCTGTTGGTCAATAGCTCGCAGGGCTCAACACAGGCCTGGGTTGCTTCTATTTTTATAGTTCTGCATATATTAATGAATGCTAAGTGGAGACTTAAAGTGGCATGATTTTAAATTTTTTTCTTAAACAAACGTATTTTTAATGTAAATTTGCAGTATAATTGTGTTAGTCACAATATAATCATGAGATTAAAATACTATGAACCCATAACACACCAGAATTAGCTGGCCTGAGTTTGAGATAATTAGCATCATGTGATGAATGACTTCTTCACTCTACTCTTTCAGTTTTTAACTGAATGAGAGCCCAACAATTTACAAAGTAGGTAAACTAAGAAAGTGTTTTTTACAAATTGCTTTTCCATCCTCAATTGAACTACTTTGTGGTGGGGAGATAGCAGGTGAGAATATGAGCAGATTGTAAGACCTTTTCAAGATGCAGAGGATGAGTCAGCTCGAGGACTGTGATGATTTGTTGTTCTTGTCATTGAATAGGCAACCTGCCAGTTCGTTGAGTGCAAACACCACCAACGGCACAAGTTCCACCCTGGCTACCAGCCCTCTGAAGAAAAAGAGGTATGCTGGCCCCTTGTCGTGTGCACATCATGCAGATGTCCTTACTGACACCTCATTTTCCTTACTAATACCTGAACCGAACCACCCCCCCAGGGGTCTCAGACAGAGTCCAGAGACTCCTTCCTCTTTCCTCTTCTCCTTCCATGGCCCCAGTGCCTCTATTCTGCTGTCCTCACACTTCCGTCCTTTTCCCTGATTTCCCTTTCAGATATTCCAGTTACTTTAGGGCTTTGACATTCTAGGTGATGTTTTTGATGGTGAGCTCAGATGTTAAGGGTGGGCTACTTCAGGTAGCATATTTTATAGGGTCCTATTACAGAGAATGAATTACCCTGAAATAACAATTGCCATATAGCCACATGGCACAATGCTCCTGAAACCAGCTGCACCCATAGCCACTTCTCTCTCTGTAGACTGGGCCGATTCTATTTCCAAGTAGAGTCACAGGCCCTCTCTGAGGACACCTGTGTTTGTGTGATTGTCACCTCTTCCCCCAGCTTCCCCTGCGTGACCTCACTCATGCTGCTTGTGCTGTATTTACTAGGCATTCTGTCATGGCAGAATAAACTTTATGAGGCAGAGCATGATGGTGGAAGTGACCTTTACATGTTGCAGAGGACATAGTGCTAGGGAATCATGATACAGATGAAATACAGGCATGCCCAAATGTTGGTACTTTAAAACTTTTCTTTCTTTATGGGCACCTAGGACTTTGCCTGGTGTAAGGTAGATGCTCAGTATTTGTTGATGGACTCACTGACTTTTTCATGATGCCACTGTAGTCCTCCTGGGGACAGAAGATTGATTGTCTTTATTTATTTTGTAGTCAGGATTCTGGTCATATCTGCAGAATCTGAGAAAATATAAATCACCTTTCCCTTGAACCCAAATTTCATATCCCCTTGACCCTTGGTCTGCTAAAAACAATTATATTAATGATATATGAAAAAAGGAGCTGCTTAATATAAAAAACAAACAAACAAACATACAGACTCCAAAGGTTGTAAGAGAAATTTAAGGTCTGTCACTTAAATGTCCTGCCCATTGCAAGAATATTTCCTCTGACTTCCCCTTCCCCTTTGGACCTTTTCTTCCTATTTCACATTATCTATTATACATTTTGATCCTTATTTACACTTTCAGTTTCTCACACCAGAGAAACTATTTGGAATTTACACATGTGCATCCTATTTATTTTACTTAATAGTATGGCCTCAATATGCATCCTGTAAGAGGGGTAGGGGAAAGGAAAGAAGGGAAAGGAATAAATATGAGAAAAGGGAAAAAAGGGAAACAAATATTCTTTCTAAATAGGGAGGGGTATAGGGGTTGATGGGAGGGCAGCGGGATGGGGAAAAAAAATAAGAACCATGATATATAATGTAAAGGTACAAATTCCCACTGATGAATGTCTTCATATTGTATACCTAAAATGTACCAATAAACTCAATGAATAAAAAAAAAGAAGCTGCAAATCAAAACAACATGGAAATACCACCTCAGATCTACAAAATAACTGAATAAAAAGTTTTGGGATTAAAGAAAAAAGAATGTTTCTTCTGACAGATTAGACATTATTCAGGACCATTGAAACTAGCAACAAGGCTCTCACTGTCTAGTGACAGGTGATACAACTTCAACGAGTTCTCATGGGAGCATCTGTTCCGTATATTCAGCTGAAATTCAGTCTCAGGTGACTCCCACCCAGTCTTAGCTCAGGCCTCTGGTGGCAGGGAACAGACCTACTTCAAGAATTGAAAGCCAGCGCTTCTGTCCTCCCACGCTTTCCTTCGCTAGTCCACATCACCCTCTGCACGTTTTAAGTTTTGGTCTTTGGTCTTCATTATCTTAGTCTTCACAAAAGCCTTAGCTATAGCTACCAATTGAAATGACTTCTTTGTAATGTGAGGGCATTTTTATAATTGAGGTTAAAAGTGAGGTTAGACTTGCTGTGGTGCTCATTTATATTTTCAAAATTCTCATCAGAGTTTTCGATCATGTAGTTTTTAAAAAGTTGCATTTTGAGTACAGGATCAGATTGTTATTTTTCTTGTGAAATAGTTCGAGTTGGCAGGAAAATCAGGAGAATAATGTGATAAACACACATAAACCTGCTACCTAGATATAACCATTGCTATTCTTTTCCAGTTTCTCTATTTTTATTTATTTATTTTTGTTCCAGGGATCAAACTCGGGACCTTGCGCGTGCGAGGCAGTCAGTGGAACCACTGAGCTAAATCAATCCCTGGCCCTTCCAGTTTCTTTAGATTGCTTTCTAAAGAAATATCCATATTGTTTAATGCTAAAGGAAATAAAATGAGTTTACTCAAGAGAGAGAGTCTGGATAGTTACTTTGTATTTTATTTATGAAATAGTGTTCATTTTATTTCCAAGGCCTTTCTAAAAAAAAAAAAGTGATCTCATTGCCCTTTAAACTTTCAAATTATTCCCAGCTTCTCCTGACAGACATGAGGGTGGGAGCGGCCTTTGAAGCACCACATTTATAACTGATGTCATTTCTTAACAGACAGTCTTGGTTTCCACCACCCCCTCCGGGTTACAGTACTGCCCCGAGCATGGGAGCCAGCAGAAGGTAAGGGGAAGATGTCAGATGTACTTGCTGTGCCACTGGATGGAAGTACTTGTCAAATATTGACAACATATAATTGCAGATGCTTTGGAATAATTGGAGGCAATTTTGCGAGGTCTGGGCTCTGAACAAGACAGTGCACAGTGTTGAGTGAGGTCAAGGTTACAAGTCCCTCTGGCAGGAAATCAGGAAAGCTACAGTAAGGAGTAAGTCTGGGACTGTATTAGTTTTCTGGAGTTAATGTAACAAAATGTCTCATACTAGGTGGCTTAACCAACAAAGTTATTGCCTGACAGTTCTGGGAGGCTGGAAGTCTGAGATCAAGGTGATAGCAGGATGAGTTTCTTCTGAGGGCTGTGAGAGAGTCTGTTCACACCCTTCTCCAGATGCTAGTGGTTTCCTGGCCAATCTTTGACATTCCCTAGTTTGTACAGGTATCATTCCCATCTCTACTTTCATCTTCATGCAGCATTCTCTCTATGTGTCTGTCTGAGTCCAAATTTCTTTTTCTTATAAGACCACCAGTCATATAGTGTGCAGTTTCCGTCCTATTCTAGTATGACCGCATTCTAACTTTAACTCATGACATCAGCAATGACCCTATTTCCAAATAAACTCACATTCTGAGGTGCGGTTAGGACTCCCACATATGAATTTAGAGGGGACACAATTCAACCCCTACCAGTGGCAGAGAGAGAACAGAGGTGAGCAGCAGGGAAGGGTTCTAGTGTGGGGTCCTGGCAGTTAGCTGCTTCAAGGCTGGGTGGAGCCCAGATGGCCAAGCAGGGATGCAGGTGGCAAGCTCTTTGGGAAGATAAAGTGACAGATGTGTTTTGTACTTGTTTGTTGCCATTGAGAGTGATACATCTACCTAAAAGTGTAACAGTAGCAATTCAGCTTAATAAATATTTAATCGATGATAACTGCGAGGCAGATAGTGTTCTAGAATCTTGGGGTTTACCAGTAAACAGACATAGAGCTTATGCTGTAGACTTTAAAGAAGCATCTTTTACAAATGTATAGAATCTATGTCATCACTACCACAGAGAGAAAAATGGGTCTCTCATATGGTATGGCTTTCATTTATCCAAAATATGTTTTCATGTCTCAACTCCTAGAACATCATCACCATGTTTTCTTACTTCCAACTACTAGAAAAGAGAGAACCATTAAACTATGTACATGTTTAGTATTAGATTGATTCATTTTCTAAAGATTTCATCTGCTATGCAGACTTCTAAGGACTCCTTTCCCAGTGATGAAAATATTTGGAAATAAATGTCCTTTAGTATAATGTTTGTTGGATCTATCAGGATGTAAATAATCATCAGTTGGTCAACAGATATGAAGCCCTGAAGATGCTTTTTATTCACATCTATTGTTGCATCTGTAATATATATAATGTATATAAAATTATTGAACATACTGAATCATTACAACTTGGAATTACATCTACTTTCATTAAAATTTTTCTGTGTGAACTTCATCCACAGATGACTTCCAATTATATGAACTTCTAAGGATGAAAATATTTCTAATTTAAAATTTCTAGAATGTTAAAATATTCCCTTTCTCCTAGACAGTATTAAATGTCTGTAGATACCTTTCATGGAGCTACTTAAACAGGGAAAATGTGAAGTAGGGGTTCTGCTAATGGCAATTTTTTCATAAGTATTGCAGGGTCTATCCAGTTAAGATCCTAATAGACAATAACTGGCCCTTTTCTTAGAAATATTTATTACTTATTTCCAAAATAGCTTCTTATTTTTGTCTTTCATTCATTATTGTAATGTTAATGTAAATTGTCATTATAATAAGCAACTAGTTATGCAGCCATATAAAAATATGCAAGGATCATTCATGAACCAATATCCCATTCTTTCCGTGCCCACTGAGCTTGTGGATCTGTTTGCAAAGAACTGACAGCGCCTGGCTATAAGCCCTTGCAATTTATGCATTGCTGGATGTGATTTAGATGGAATATAAAATGAGATACAATGCTCCTATTTATGATTACTGGCTCAAATCGATAGCGCCAGAAATAAGGAGAAGAGGAGAGAGATTTTTGGGCTTGGTTGGTCAGTTTAGATACCCATTCTTTTTTAAGAGTCACAGATTATTAATATAATGGTTAAACTACTCTTTGAGGATCAGAGATAATGTCATGTGAAGCTTTCAAGGGAAAAAGAGAATAACAATATAGCAATGCCTTTGATTTCTAAAGTGCTTTTCTTTGGAAGAGCACAAAGGACAGCTTCTGTTTCTTACCTTTAATGCCTGCACATTCTCAGGGCTGATAAATAGCCTTTTTAGTAAATGCCGAAAAGTAGAAGCAATTATTACAGGTTGAAAGGGAATAAGGCTTTAAAAAAAAGATCTTTGTCACCAGAAGAGCCCAAAGAAAATAAAAATAGGTCAAAACCAGATAAAAATGGGGGAAGTATGGTTTTTAATACTAGTTAATAGCACAGTGCTAAATTTATTTCCCTTTATCTTTCACTAATATGCTGGTATCCATCTCTCTTTCTCTGCCCTCCCATCTTCTCCAAAAGAATTTTCCCATATTACTGACACTCACACTCTCTTTTTTGTCCTTTACTCTGCCAGCTTTTTTTTTTGCCACCCGATCTTTCTCTGAAATTTCAGCATCTCCCACACTCTTCTCTCCACAGCGCACTAGAAAAACTCCCAGAATCCCCCTCCACTCCAGCAGTGCGCCTGCTTCCTGCCCTCCAGTCCTGGACAACTCTGTGGCCTTTAATACCATGGATCATCCTCGCCCTCCCTGGTTCCTTTCTTGACTAATGCATTATGGGAGAGATTAAATGTAGTTGCGTTTGGATTGAAAAGTCAAGTTAGCACCGTGTTTAGATTATAATCAACTACCGGTAAATGTAACCTGGACTCAAGTTTACTTACCAACGGAACTCATGATATTATCTGTCATCTATCTTTATATATGTGTATTTATAGGGATAGGTAAATCTTGACTGTGTAAATCTGTCTTTATAGCTATATTTATTTATCTATTTTTTGGGTACCGGGGATCAAACTCAGGTCCTTGTGCTTGCGCAGCAGGCGGTGAACCACTGAGCTACATCCCCAGCCCCCTATTTTAAAAATAAATTTTAAAAATTTGAAAGTAAAAGATCATTAAGGATAACTCCTTGCTGATCTAGCACTTTGGCTTCTTGACCTTTCAAAGTCACTGCTGAGTATTCCCAACTTTACTAGTCTCTTAGTGTCCCTCATTGTCTGTTTTTTTTTTGAATCAGGAATCGAACTCAGGGCCTCACGCTTCCCAACTAGGTGCTGCGCCTCTGAGCTACATCCCCGGCCCCCTCACATTGTCTTTTGAGAAACAATCCTTCGACATACTCTTCTGGATTTTCTTTAGTTTCTGTAGTCATTCTTCCTTGGTCTCCTTTGCTGTTTCCTCCTCCTCCAGCCAACCATCAAATGCTGATGCTGCTGGAGCTTCAAGGTTCTTCTTCTCTTCTTGCTCTGGGTTCTGACTTTCGGCAGCAGTGTCGATCAGCAAGGTGCTAATGGTCACACGGCATTGTGGTGGGAAATTCCTATGTGAGAGAACACTGACCACAGCAGCTTGGGGTTCTTTATAGTGCTCTACATTGGCTAAGGTGAGGCACAAATCATCATAACAAAATATCCCTGCGAGGTCAGGAGAGGAGCACCAGCATCCTCTGGGAGATCTGATGTGGTAGGGACTGGCTCTAACAGGGGCTCACATACAGGTCTTGAAGGAAGTGTGGGATTTGGAGGAAGGAGAGATTATCCAGCACTTAGGCTTTCAAGCCCAGTTTGACTTTAAGCAAAATGATGTCATCAGTCTATTTAGGAGGGAATAGGAGCAGAGGGGAGGACACAGTAGTAGATCTGCAGAAGTTGCCATTGTGCTTTGTTGTGAGCAGGAAGAGTCTTGGACACTGAAAAGTTGTATTCGTTGAGTGGATTCTCAAGGAAGGAGAAATGCCTAGGGGAAGAGGGTATGCAATGTGCTCAGATAAGAGGATGGTGCTTGAGGTTGTGATTGGGAGATGAATCCAGGGATTTAAAATTTGGTATTTTCAAAACACAGTTAGCTGTGAAGAAAACATTAAATGAGAAGATGAATGCTGAACTTGATGTATGTCTATGTGTCAGATGGAGAAGGAGGAAAGAGAAAATGAGACATAACTGTTGCAGTTAGCTGGTTACAGAGAGCTGTACTGAGAGTGAGAGGTCGGTGGGTGAAGGGAGATGGAGTTGGGTTCAACAACCCAAAGCCACTCTGAGCCATCTTTCAAAGTCTGGCGTGAATCTCACTTCCTCCACACAGTTTTCTCAGTCCAAGGGTTTTCTTTGTCAAGAGACCTCACAAAGCTTATTGAATATAATCCTCATTTGACAACTAATAATACATTACCTTGAAACATCACTTAACATTTACAGCGTACTCCTCAACTAGATGGCATCATGTTACAAACTTTTTGTGTCATCAAGTAAACTTTGCATAGAAATTTGTCACTAAGTATATATTATTGATAGATTTTAGTATTCTTAGTGTCTACAAGTGAGAGACAGTGAATTTCCCCCAACTTGCTATCCTATTTATTGTAGTTGGGTCTTACTCTATGTGATTAGGTTATGATGACTAATTAACCCCCCCATTGCTGATTTTTACTTTGTGTTAAAAGAATATTTTGCTGAATGCGAGGAGCAGAGAGAGGTGTAGGAACCAGCTCCAATTTTAGAGAGCTCAGAGTCCACCAGGGAGTCATTTTGAGCCTGGATTGCTAAACATGAAGGCTAACCCTGACCGAAAGGGTTCATGAGGTTATAAAGAGCACAAAGGTAGCGATACCCACACAGTATGGGGGAGCAAGGAGAGGGAGGGAAGAGAGGATGCATTTGGGGTACTGGAGGCTCAACAGACACAGTGCCTGGAATGCACCTGAAGAATGAGTGTATGTGAGCCAGTTGCAGAGGGGGAAGGTTGCAGA